ATATCGCGGGTAACTTTATCGTGACTCGAAAATGAAGGGCCGATATCGAGTTAATGTTTTCTCAGTATACACTCGTGTTTCACTACCTCTCCTATCCACCCGGGTCGATATTAACCACTCCAACTTAGTCGTGTGTTTATGTTAACGAGAGGAACGGAGGAGAGGAGGAGGAGGTGTCGCCGCGGATCACCCTCCAAGCCCACCCTCCTCCTTGCCCACGTAAGATAATATACGCACGGTACGGGGAACACTCCGGATGGTCGGAAACAAAAGAAAACCACGGTGGAAGAATTTAACCAATCCGGGAGAAAGTTTGTCCACTCGCTTCCTGAATCAATAATTCCTAAAGGGTACTTCCTCGTTCTCGTTCCATCGCTCCCCGCTTATTTGTCCACACCCACTCGACCCGCTCTCTTCGCTCCCCTTTTGCCACCAACGAAGAAAGAAGGAAGGAAGGGGAGGGGAGGCATATCGTTTTCACCGACATTCGGTCGAACGCTGTTCTTTTCGGCCGCGAGGGGTGAAAATTACGGGCGGGTCGGGTGGAAAAAAACGCGACACGAGAGTCCTCGATAGTCCTCGATGGGTGAGGGGGAGTTTCTGCTGAATTGACCATTAGCGTGGTTATTAGGTGGGTCGAGGGAGGTATACGCACACACATAATATATATATACGTATATACACGCGAGGAGGAAGAGGAGGAGGAGGAGGAAGGCTTTAGAATCGTTAAAGCGCTTACGCTAGAGAGGCTCTCTTTCTCTCGCTCTCCGGCACACATGCGTGCGGGATACTCGCTAAGTGGTCCATTCAGCGCTGCCTAACGGAATACATTACAGGAAGTAGCAGTTAAAAAACCTTTCCCCTTCCCCCCTCCTCTCAAAGACCCCCGCTACCCGTCCAACTCCTTTCACGGGACGTAATTCTTGCTCGTCAAGTGGAGTTATTACATCTTCCTATAATCTGAATTACGAGGATGGCACGCGTTTGAGATATGGATCCTCGATGATATAGAGCAAACGGATAGATGTGTGAGTATGTATGTGTGGAATGGGAGAAAATCTTTTTCTTTTTTTCTTTTTTTTTTTACGAAAGTTGTTGGAAAGTTGTTACCTTGCGGAGCATCTCCTCGAGCGACTCCATGTCCAGGGCGGAGTTGTTGTTCTCCGTGCGCACTGGTTGAACCATTTGTCACAGTTTTCTCGTCACAGCCGCTCGCACTTCCCGATCGCACACTGTTCACTCGCGCTCACTCCCCCCCTCCACTAGTTCCTTTGCCGGAAACTTACTCTAAACGTCTTCAACTCTTACATCGGTCGCTTTTGGCGGACACCGTATCCCATCGAGCACACGATTTCTATTTCTCACGAGCGATCGAACCACTTCCCTTTCCTAAGCGAAGAACCTACGCACGCGGCTACTTGGAATTCTATAAATTCTTTCGAGGAAGTCTCAAGAACAAAAGAATCGACCACCGCCGCTATTAGTATGGTCGCGAGAGTGCCAGAAGTCTCCCTTTCGAGAAAAGAGAGTATTGCCCCGCTAAAAGGACCGTGATTTCTCTCCCGAACTTTCCATTGTTCTCTCTCCCTTAGAATCGTGGAAGAACTCATCGAGAATCCCTTTAAGGAAGGCTTTCGACGAAAAATCTGTCGATCATGGTCGACATGAACGAGATCGAGAAACGAGAAGTCCTCATCTCCCTCCAAAGTAGGAAGGATTGATAAAAGAAGAAAAGAAAAAAGACGGGGATTCGATAGACGACCTATCTATTTTGACGTATGAATTAAAACGGGGAGAGTTTTATTACGCCGCTTTCCAACTTTTCCTCGTGAAAATGTGAAAGCAAAACGAAAAAGAAGCGGACTTTCTCGCGACGGGCACCGACGGTGCTCGCGCATCGGGACGAGGACGTTGAGGGTGCTCGCACGCACGAATCGACTATTTTCGGGCGGTGGGATATTTTTAAGCCCCCGTTTGGAGCACGAACGACCGATTTCCAAGAGAAAGAAGCCCTCCGAACGGAGAGAAAGAGAGAGGGAGAAGAGAGAGAGAGAGAAACGCAGTCGACGACCGATCCGAGAAAGAAAACGCGCGTCGGATGTGACGTCTGCTCCCCCCTCGCCCCTTCTCTCCCGCTCCTTTCCGACGATAATTAATCCTGCCCACCGAAAAACACGTCACGGAAAATCTTTCTTTCCCTCTCTCTTTTTCTCTCGTCGCAACAACACACTATCGCGGTATCGATTCGTCCAGCGTCGAGGAACGAACGGAGAATTCTAATTTAAGAGCGGCGTAATCTTAGCGACAATTTTCATGGCTCCATCCGGGAAGATTAAACGCGAGTAGTCAAGTGTCGGGAGGCGTTAACCCCTTCTCGCGTTCGCGCGTTTCGAAAATTCAGAAGCGGCTCCTCCCGTCAAAAGCCGAGAGTGGAAGAAACACTCAGGTTTGGTTTCACGCGTTATATTCTCCGCAGAGACGTTCCGAGACGTATCTCCAACGGATTTTTACAGCGGCGGATATCGTTCACTTCGCCATTAAAAAAAAAAAGGAAAGAAAAGTTTCGTCGTAAAGTCGAGTATTCGTAAAGAGAAGAATTGGAGAGAGTCGGGGTGACGCGTCTTTATTAATTTTCTCAGAGTGGAAAAAGAAGCGATGCGCGGATCGGGTTCGATCGGGATCCCGAGATTTGGTTAATTGCCACGGGAAGCCGAGATATCGTTCGCCGATTAATTTCCCGCGAGAGACAAGTGCAAATCCTCGTACGCGACGAGGATCGATTTAATTTTTTCGCAACTGGAAATCGCACGGAAATGACTCGGTTTTCTTTTTTCTTGGCGCCGTTTCGATGACGTTTAATCATCGGATAGGATTTGCCATTTGTCGTCGATCGTCCGTGTTTGAGGAACGGAATCATTAATTCGCGGGTCAAAGCGAAGTCGCTCCTACAGGTATTTAATTAACCGAAACGCCAACTCGACAGGGTGATGGCGGTGTCCGCAAACACGCAAATACGGGACCGTTCGTTCGACCGAGCTTTCGTTTATTTTCCGGATCGATGGGCCGACGTATTCGCGAAAAAAAGCTTCCTCGCGAATTTTCCTCCTTTTTCTTTTATCTTACTCCCCCGATCGATACAAACGATCCAGTCAAATCGAAATCGAAATTGGAATACGAAGTTGGAACTATTTCCGTTTGCACGGCGGTGGATATCGATCGCGCGAAGCACGGGGAAAGAGGGATCGCGTTAAAAAAGCGCGAGCAACCCGTACTTTTCACTCCATTAGTCGCAAACAATCGGAGAGATCGGTCGGATCTCGCGTTTCCGCCGATCCGCCGGTTACGAGGGCACACGGTTCGTCGACGTATAATAAGTGAAAGGCGCGTCAAAAGCGATCGGGGGCGTAAGGTGATTCCGCTAAACCGACGTTTTTCTTTTTGTATCCATTTATCGCGCTTTCGTGGAGGGAGAGAGAGAGAGAGAGAGAGAGAGAG